TTCATATTTGTCTGTGTCAATTAGTTCCTTCTGCATTCAATTCCCTATGACCTTAAGGAGAATGGCAGAGTGAATGGAACAAAATTTTTCTTTTAAGTAAAACTTCGACATGAAATAAAGTGTAACGATAGTTTACTGAGATTTTTCTCTGGTCATCAAACTTGCGTGTGGCAGTGAGTGGATGGAACAAACCATTTCCTTTATATATATATATATATATATATATATATATATATATATATATATATATTATATATATATATATATATATATATATAATGTGGAAAGGTATGGTTCTTGTACGCAAACCTTAATGTTCACTAATGCCAGTTTATGTAAGGTCCATACACAGGTGTTGAGTGAAAAGACCTGCCGCTACATATAAGGCCACCTAGACGGGAAGAAGAACCAGTAGCGACCATGGCTTCCCAAACACTCCTGGGCGTCCTGACGGTGGCGATGATGGGGGCTTGTCTCCCAAGCAGCGCCTCCGCACCTCAACGGCTCGCTCCCTTCGTCAGTAAGTCTCTTTGGGTGCCAGTAAGATGTCTTTGACATGGATGTTTGGGAAAAAGAGTTTGTTGTTCGCTTTCGACTTTGGCATCTTTTTCCAACTGTATTCTGCTTTGAAAATGGCCTTCATCCCTAAGGCAGTGTCTCAATTCCAGTCGAGCCTCTGAGTCTTTGAGCTCCATAGGTTCGTTAGTACTTCTTGGTCACCGCTGAAAGTTCTTCGATGTTCAGTATGCTCTCGGATTGCCATGGAAAGCTTCTTGATGATGCTCAATTCAATGGACTTATTGTATTGTCCTTTCAACTCCCTGTTACCAGTTCTGTCATCAGGGGACCTTCTTCGACCAGTTATCAAAAACAATAACAGCCATCAGACTTGACTCCTATGGAGTCTGGTTCTGTTTGAATGTTGATTCTTTTATCTTTTTTCATATGATCTAAACTTGCTCTGGAAAAAATAAACTGCATTTTAATCGTAATGTTCAAACCTTCTGGTGTTACATACTGATCCATGTTTGGTGAAAAAAAAACATTCGTCTTTACGGTGGAGCTCATGTATAGTATTGTTCACCCAAATCTCCCTTGATATCCAGAAGTTCTTTAATTCTTTCTTTTTTTAAAACTTCCAGTCGAGCCTCGCGTCAACGGCTCGCTCCCCTTCGTCAGTAAGTCTTTGGGTGCCAGTAAGATGTCTTTGACATGGTTGGAGGTTTTGGGAAAAGAGTTTGTTCGCTCTTGACTGACATTTTTTCCAACTGTATTTTGCTTTGAAAATGAGGGCAGTGTCTCAATTCCAGTCGAGCCTCGCGTCAACTTCGACGACACGTGTAGGTGTGGGCAGAAGGCCGCCTCCAGGATCGTGGGCGGGGTGACCACGGGCGTGAACGAGTGGCCGTGGCAAGCGGCGCTCATGTACGGCTCGCAGCAGTTCTGCGGCGGATCCCTCATCAACGACCGATACGTCCTCACCGCCGCCCATTGCACCGAAGTGAGTAAGGGAGTGGGAGGGAAGCAACTGAGCGAGTGACCAAAGGACGAAGGAAGACAAAATCTTCCTCTTTCAAAAGATTATGGGTGTTTAGATAAAGCTACTCATAACAGTAATTGTGGCGGTGGTGATAATGGCCTTTTTGTTTGCAGAGCATGAGAGCGTCTGACCTGACCCCGTCTGGCCGAACACAGGCTGAGCACTTCCTCAGAGACCAGTGTTGTGAGCAGGTCCGTGTCTCAGATCATCGAGCATCCGGACTATCAGCCGGGTAACGAGATTAACGACATCGCTCTCATCAAACTGTCGTCGCCAGTCCAGGTGAGCCACATTTCACTAGCGGTTCAAGCGATACAAATGGTGCACATACTTACCCACTCTTTGAACGCGTTTCATCCATAGATTTGTTTGCTATTAAGAGAGAAGATTCAGTGCTACCGAGATGACATGTCTTATTTTCAGGTGAGCGACACACAGTGTTGCCAGTGTGCATGCCGCCACCCAACCCCACATACGCCGGCAAGACAGCCTGTCACAGGTGGGGAACCACCAGCTCCGGAGGCTCGTCTTCAGACACACTCAGGGAAGTGGACGTCACGGTCAGTACACGAACACGGGTGCTTCAGTTAAACAGTGGATATGAGGTCACATTATAACGTAGTGTATTCTTCCGTTACGACTAAGTTTTTTTTCTGTGCAAAATAATGGCGATGACCTTTACAGCTAGACCATTAACTGCCTTCTTAACGTTGTTCACTGAGTGCAGGTGGTGCCAACACCGCGTGTCAGTCCAACAGTTACGGAAGCGCCATTAAGGACACCATGTTGTGCGCCGGAAGCACAGGCAAGGACTCGTGCAGGGAGACTCCGGCGGCCTCTGGTGTTCAAGGACGGAGGCGGAAACTACGACCAGGTGAGTGGGCGAAGGCGCGCATGAATCGCTTGGTGGGGTCTCGCATGACTAACTAGACTTGTATGTTTTATAAATAAAGGTAGATTCAGATGGAATTAATTCCATGAGTGTAAGTAGATTTGAAATGGTTTGCTGAGCGAAATCTGTAGAGAATAGGGCATAGCTTGACCGATTTAATGCGATGTGCAAGCAGGATTATAATCTGAGCATACCCTCTTGTCCTTTGACTTGCGATTAACTTCCAACCCACACAGATCGGCGTGGTGAGCTGGGGCTATGGGTGCGGAGCCCGAGGCTACCCCGGCGTGTACACCCGCGTCAACAGCTACCTCGACTGGATCAAAGCCAACACAGGAGATGGTGTTTACTGCAGAGGAATGCGTCTGTAGTCTTGCCACTCCTACTCTGCCACGACCGCCAGTCCGGGTCGTGAGGAAGAAAGCGAACCGTCGATAACACTTCACATCGAACATGAATTAAAGCCAAATCATGCACTAGACTCTGACATAATAAAGACAATAAAGAATTTCAAATAAACACAATAGATTGTCATTTATCATTTTCACTCTAATTGTATGTAAATGCTTATCCATACATTATTTCAAAGGAAAATGTCCATCACCATCGACAATGTGATTAAGCAACATTTATTTTTCTTTTTCATTCAACCTTTTAAGAAATTGTACCATGCTTTAAGCATGAACTATTTTCAGTTTCCTTTTTAGCTGTCTTTCCCTACTCGATCAAATTAGATCCTTTGTATTGGTACTTTAATCTTAGAAAAAAATTGAAAAAATCTTGTTTTGTGTGGCTAGAATATGAAATCCGTTTTAGCCCTGCTGAAATCTAGATCATTATTAGTTCACTTATTCTGACATGCGATGGCATAAGTTTGGCATGAGTTTGGCAGTAAAGGAAATAACAGGCCATTTTAAAAAGCTACCAAGCTTGAAAACGGTCTTAAAGGGTGAATGTCTATACTGAAATAAGCCGTACTTTAGGGAGTGGGATATACTCATGATGCACAACAATGAAGGTATTCGTTTCAGGCTAATTCAAGAAAATAAATGAATGACAAATTAGAAATACTTTCGTATACTGATGCAAAACAGGGTGCTCACAGATCGGTGTATATGTATACATACAGACATTATATATATATATATATATATATATATATATATATATATATATATATATATATATATATACATATATATATACATATATTACATATATACATATATACATTATATATACATATATATATACATTATATATACATATATACATATATACATATATACATTATATATATACATATATATATGTATATAGGTATATATCCACACATACTAGTTGTTCGAGCAGAAAATTGCTTTCTGGAATGAACAAGTGTACAAAGAATACAGTAACTACAAAGAGTACACCATTTGACCAAAGATCCTTTTGTTTTTATCCCATCTATAAAATTTCAATCCTGAAGTTTCATCTTGACTCTTTGATTTCGTTTTCGCTGGAGAGGGACCACTACAGGGATATAATCGGCAGGCACTCGACTTGGCTTCGTTACGTAGACGAAGTCCCCGTCATTGTCCCCAGAAGGTCGTGTCTGCACCATACGCTGACGCGGCTGAATTCCGTCCACGAGAAAATCCAGTTCACCGAGGAGGAAGAAGAGGATCAGAAGTTACCTTTCCTGGACACTCTGATCCATCGGGGTGATGAAGACCTACATTTTTCTGCATATAGGAAGCCGACTAATAAAGTTGATCCACTATTACTCCGCACACAGCAATAAAACGAAATCTGGTTGTGATTGGGTTCTTCCTCGGCACTGAGGATTTGCAAGTTCCTTGAAAGTGGTTACCTATATAATTGATTCTTTCATGAAACACTGTGATGTCTTCTAATTTTCTCGTATTACCTCCATTTAATCTCTCCCAGGCGATCAGCAAATACTTTGGCAATACAATGAACATCGCCAGCACATCCGGGGAAGAGATACATGACCTAATACGAGAAAAAACAACAGAAAAGCAATAGCGCAGTATACCGCATAGCCTGCAGCAGTTGCGATAAGGCATACTATGGTGAAACGGGACGTGCTTCAAACACAGGATCTATGAACATCGCGCCGATGTCCGTCACCATAGAACTTCCAACGCCATGGTGGTTCATGTAGATGAAGCTGGACATCTACCGACCGGGAAAGAAGCTGAAATAATCCATGATGGATTGAGCAAATACAAAAGGAAGGTCATAGAAGCTGCATATATCGCGGCAAAGAAAAATATGAACACCGCATCAGGTAAATTCAAGCTATCCAAATTCGCGGCAGCAATTATGCTTACAACGAGCGCGAGGTCACGATCATCAGGTGATTCATCAGCTCCCATGTTCAATAAATGTGCTGTATATTCTCACAAATGTAAACCACCAGGTTAGTACAGTGGTAACCTGTCGGCTTCTCATCCGAGGGGTCGACGGTTCGCGCCCCGCCCAGGCGCGAGAAATTGCAATTGTCACCCGGAGGTTACTGCTGTGGCTGGACACCACGGTGGGTAAGGACTAAGCTCTGTTGCGTCAGCACTCGCTGACACACGTTGATCGAGTCGACATTTGTCGGCACAGGCCGGGCTCCCCCATAGCTCGGGCGAGGCTCAGCTTCGCATATCGGACTTATCCTTATCCTAAATGTATGTATTTCTGACGAAGATATAATCGAAACCGGTTAAATACATCTCTTGTACTGTGAAGATTTTCGTTCTTATTCATACCTTTCCACAATTGTCAACATGAATACGGTTCATATATATAAAAGTTGGAACGAAATCAAAGTGTCAAGATGAAACAAGTATTGAAATTTTATAGATGGGATAAAAAAACAAAGGAATATTGTTTGTGTTCAAGGATCTTTGGTCAAATGGTGTACTCTTTGTAGTTACTGTATTCTTTGTACACTGGTCCATGTTCCAGAAAGCAATTTTTGCTCGAGCAACTAGTGTGTGCGGATATATGTATATATAAAATGTATATATAATGTATATATATGTATATATAATGTGTATATATGTATATATAAATGTATATATGTATATATGTATATATATATAATGTATATATGTACATACAATGTATATATGTATATATAGTGTATATATGTATATATATATATATATATAATATATATATATATATATATATATATATATATATATATATATCTGTATGTATACATATACACGATCTGTGAGCACCCTGTTTTGCATCAGTATACGAAAGTATTTCTAATTTGTCATTCATTTATTTTCTTGAATTAGCCTGAAACGAATACCTTCATTGTTGTGCATCATGAGTATATCCCACTCCCTAAGTACGGCTTATTTCAGTATAGACATTCACCCTTTAAGACCGTTTTCAAGCTTGGTAGCTTTTAAAATGGCCTGTTATTTCCTTTACTGCCAAACTCATGCACCCAACCTTATGCCATCGCATGTCAGAATAAGTGAACTAATAATGATCTAGATTTCAGCAGGGCTAAAACGGATTTCATATTTCTAGCCACACAAAACAAGAAATTTTTCAATTTTTTCTAAGATTAAAGTACCAATGCAAAGGATCTAATTTGATCGAGTAGGGAAAGACAGCTAAAAAGGAAACTGAAAATAGTTCATGCTTAAAGCATGGTCACAATTTCTTAAAAGGTTGAATGAAAAAGAAAGATAAATGTTGCTTAATCACATTGTCGATGGTGATGGACTTTTTCCTTTGAAATAATGTATGGATAAGCATTTACATACAATTAGAGTGAAAATGATAAATGACAATCTATTGTGTTTATTTTGAAAGTTCTTTATTGTCTTATGTCAGAGTCTAGTGCATGATTTGGCTTTATTCATGCTCGATGGTGGTGTTATCGACGGTTCGCTTTCTTCCTCACGACCCGGACTGGCGGTCGTGGCAGAGTAGGAGTGGCAAGACTACAGACGCATTCCTCTGCAGTAAACACCATCTCCTGTGTTGGCTTTGATCCAGTCGAGGTAGCTGTTGACGCGGGTGTACACGCCGGGGTAGCCTCGGGCTCCGCACCCATAGCCCCAGCTCACCACGCCGATCTGTGTGGTTGGAAGTCTGCTCAGATCATTATCAATCCTGCTTGCACATCGCATTAAATCGGTCAAGCTAATATTTTCTACAGATTCGTCAGCAAACCATTTGAATCTGTGGATTAATCTGAATCTAACTTTATCATAAAGCATACGTCTAGTTAGTCATATTCATGCTCACCTGCTCAGATCATTATCAATCTTGCTTGCACATCGCATTAAATCGGTCAAGCTATGCCCTGATATTCTCAACAGATTTCGCTCAGCAAACCATTTCAAATCTACTTACACTCATGGATTTAATTCCATCTGAATCTACCTTTATTTATTACACATGCAAGTCTAGTTAGTCATGCGAGACCCACCAAGCGATTCATGCGCGCCTTCGCCCACTCACCTGGTCGTAGTTTCCGCCTCCGTCCTTGAACACCAGAGGGCCGCCGGAGTCTCCCTGGCACGAGTCCTTGCCTGTGCTTCCGGCGCACACATGGTGTCCTTAATGGCGCTTCCGTAACTGTTGG